AAACCTAGCCCTAAAACTGAGGTTAGGACATAGCGCGCACATGATTTGGTGCAAGCAGTCACCGATTTGGTGCAGGTAGTAGTATTATTTCGCCAGAATGCCACCTGGGAAGTTTGTCACTGATCCCTTGCGCCGTCCGGGCGTCATCCTGGTGGCCTGGAATGTTTATCCCTTTGTTCGTTTAGCCACATAATGACCACCGTCTCACTGGTTGGATCATTGTGCTTGATGGCTGTCGATTGGCGTGCATTTCTTTTCAGCTTGAGATGACTCAAAAACTGTTGTGGGAAAATACATTATGAAACATGCAAAAGCTTACACATGCCGGGATGTAACTATTCCTGGTGCAGCATTGAGCTGGCAGTTTCCCAGTCCATGCACAATCCCTAACTTGAAGATTGGCTGTTTGCGACGAAAAGAACAAAAAGACATTCATGACAGTGTCTTGAAAATCATTCTTTAATTGAATTCTGGAATCGTTGGACCGAATTCGGTTCTCGAGGTAGTTTTTGATCGCACTCATGTTTGTTGGGGACAACATGAGCTTCATGAAGAACGCCATGCAGTTCAGGGAGAAATGCCTCGGCCATGGTGCCTCGTTTGCAAGGTGCAATGGTGCTTTGTGGGGAAGTTTCAAATGTGTCTTTCCTGAAGTTTTGCACCATTGCGACAACCCTATTTTTCACTTGGGATTGCAAGAAATTGTTGCACCTGCATTTTGCAGTTGGGGCGTTTGAAAGTGACCATACGTTTCACACGTTGGCTGCACCTTGGTGATGAGGTGGTATGCGGCTCAATTGTTGCATGGGCGTTTGCGATTTGACGACGGTCCTTGGGGTCCGAATAGGCGGACGGGTGGCTGCGAAAGCACCACGGAATCTGGCCGTGATCGTTGCCACCGTCGGCAAAGCTCTTCGCTGTGGGAAGGGCGAATGCACACGTAAAGCCCCGGGCGTTTCGTGTGTGGGTGTAGCTTGCGGGTGGCCGCGTGCCAACGCCGTTGAAGCATCGGCGGTCGTGGGTTCGCGCTTCCTGTGTGCACACCAAAAGGGAGGGGGTTGAATTGCGTGAACGGCATTTCCTTCAAGAACTTTATTTTCCAATTTCGCTGTCGACAACTCTTGAAAGCAACGCGCCATAACCGACCACTTCACTCCTTCAAAGCCAGCGCAGTCTTACCAACCAACCAAATGTCCGACCGAGTAGAATCGATCGCTAACGGAGCTCGCCTCTGCGCCCTGTCAGACCCTCTGGGGTGGCAGACAGACTCCACCGGGTGCTCCTCCGCCCAACGCGACGCTGCCGGCGGTGGGAAGTCGACACGAAGCCCCGACCGACTGGGGCAGCGCTTTCGCGAGAGGGGCGGAGGCAGGCTGCCACCGACACGGCAACCAGCACGACCAGAGGCACACGGATCAGTCAGGAATCAATGGGCTCAGGGAGGCTCCCGCTCACCGTGGAGCGCCTCGTATTTGTATTAAAACCAGTGCGTCAGTACATCGTTGTTGTCTTTGGTACTGTTCTCAGCGTTCCCAGTACAACTCCGACTAAGAAAAGACTCTTTCCCATCCAATACAAATCGTAGTGCGCCTGTCATGGGTCAGATCATCCCTCGATTCTACCCCGAGCATGGCAGCGGCATACCCCAAACACGGCCTGGCCATGCCCCGAACATGGCGCCGTCACGCTCCGACCCTTGACAGCTCATCAGCGGTTGGTCACTTCTAGTCCTGCCTGCCCGAGGATCATTCCTACGTTACTACAACGCTATCCCATCGCTGACTGAACGTATCAGTAACTCCTTGTCGATCGATCGTACGTCTGCAGCTCGGCAGCCTCCGACATCGTATCATCGTCCTCTCGCAGCCGTATTCGCGCCTTTGCCGTCGCTCAGTACGCCTCCGATGATGCGACATCAACTCCGATGCCTCCGATAGTCCGTACACCCCACCGTGGGACACCGCGTCTGACCGCAAGCAGGCGGTGTGACTTCGATGGGCACCGCGCACTGCTGTGCAGGCTGTAGTCGCAGATCAGGCTCTAGAATGACAGGAATCAGTTCTTGGGTCTGAAGTAGAGGTAGTCTCAGTCGGACAGGCCGCTGTCCACGCTGACAGGGCGGACAAACGTGGCATTTCCGCGACTGTATTTAATCTTTGTACTTAGTAACACCTTGCAAAGAGGTGCCGTTTCCTTCCCAGTACTTCGCACATCGTTTAGTCATACTTGTGCCATGGCGCTGGCACGCCCCAACCATGGCTCTGGCATATCCCAACCATGGCGCTGCCACCCTCGGTCCATGGCATCCTGATGATTAAAGTCTTAAACTCTAATCCTAATAAATGCAGCTTTTATCCCGTGGTTTCTTCACTTAAAACTTCTTCCCCCGTGTTATGAAATCACCCCTTTTTGTCCTCTTTTCAACCCTTGTTTTTGGTTTTTTAATCAATGGCCGTTGCATAAATGGCCTTGATTTGAGGTGATTTCAACACAACCGAATAGCGAGCGCCACGATTGGCCCGTGGTGGCACGACACTTGCGCCATGCCCGCGCTACACTTGTGCCATGCCGGCGCGATGCTTGTGCCATGGCCACGCCACGCTCTGGCGGCGAGTGAACCCGATGGGCGCCAGGGGGTGTCGCCCATCGGGCGCCAGCCCACACGCTACGCGACGCGACGCTTCCCGTCATCTCATTGGCCCAAACCCGCAGAGTCGCGTGCAGGGTCGCGCGTCGCGTGTGACCTGGCGGGTTTGGGCCAATGAGATGACGGGAAGGGTCGCGTCGCGTAGCGGGTGGGCTGGCGCCCACACATGTCCAGTGCACATTTCCTGCAAGTGAACCCGATGGGCGCCAAGGGGTGGCGCCCATCGGGCGCCACCCCACACGCGACGCGACCCTTCCCGTCATCTGATTGGCCCAAACCTGCCAGGTCACACGCGACACGCGACCCTACACGCGACCCTAAACGCGACCCTACACGCGACTCCGTTGACTAACAGGAGGCCAGGCGCCAAGCGAGCTGCGAGGCGCAGGCCCTTGGCTCTCGACACGGCCGCAGGAGCTCCAGCGACGCGCCTGCACGGCCTTCCCCACCCTCCAGTCGCAGCCCGACTCGCCGGACGGCTGGCCGTCGCCGCAGGAAGCAAGGCAGGTGGGCGAATGGGGAACGGCGCAGCTAGGAAGGAGGGGTGGGGGGAAGGAGATTGCCGCGGAGGGTCGGGAAGCGAGTGGGCGGGCGAAGGGCCGGATTGGCGCGCGGAAAGGCAGGGGTTGGGGGCCCAATTGGGGGGAGGGATTGGGCGGAGGGAAAGGGAGCGCAGGCAACGCAGGGGTGGGGAAGGATTGGTGCAGGCGCGGAGGGAAATGGCACAAGGTCGCCAGGTCGCCAACGCCTTGCGAGGGCGGCCCAGGGCGCACGATCTATGGTGCTGTTGGCCTGCGGAAGCCCTAGGAGAATGCCCTATCGGCGAGCCAGCCGCATCGCCAATTCTGTTAAATTGGTGATGCTATTTGTGATCTCGAACTAGTTGCCACACGTGCAGCGGACGGCCTTCCTTCCTGCGCCAACCGCACGTGGGGAAGGGGCAAACCAAGCTTCAAGTTATCCTTCCCAGTGGTTCGGCAGTGTCCAACTCTGGTTCGGATATTCACACACGAGATCCTACAGATCCACAAAACATTGGCGCCAGCATGGGTGGGTGGGCATGGAGGGGGGTGATGTGCAACCCACAACGGCAAGACGTGCTGCCACGAGGCCACGAAAACATGCAAAAAAACAGTTTCCCACTGGCACTTGTAGTTTGTGGTTCGAATGCTAAGGAGGATTGGCATCGCCACAAAGCGTTTGAGAGATTTAAAAATGAGGGCATGCACAGCTGTCCAGATCTTTCCACATGAAAAGGCCCAATTTCACCTAGCGCACCATGAAAACGCTCAAAACGGCCTTTCCCCATGGGTGTGTGTTGTTGGGGATCAATCGCCGTCGTTTTCGGCAACCTTGTGGCTCTTTAGTGTGAGTCGGAAGGTGAAGATCTGATTTAGCGCAGATGAGCGTTAAGCATTCCTGTTGTGTGTCTACATGAGTGTGTTGTTGAGTGTGTCTGGTATGGTGCAGAGCCCCTCAAGGGCTGGTTGTGAACCTGCATCGATAAGTTGGCTGTTGAGGTTGTCATTTGGGGAATTTGCACATGGCATGGCTGGTCACCATTGTGGCCATCGTGGCACATTTGCAAAGCAAAACTGTGGCCCATCGGGTTCACTTGCAGGAAATGTGCACTAAACAGCCTCACAGCCCACTCGCCCGAGCACCACTCCGCCCAACAAGTGGGAGGCGTTCCGAGTCGCGCTGGCTAGCGCCCATGTGGCGCCATCCCCTGCCGCCCATCGGCTGTTTTTCACATGCAGGAATCGTGCGCTGGATATGTGCGGCCACAGGACGCGAACGTGGCTAACAACACGAGTTGCATCACAAGCCTCCCGTGAACTCGTTGGCCCGAATCCACCGGGGCGCCATTCGCTGATGGGAGGCGACACGCCCAGCCGCCCCAGTTGAGGCCTCAGAGGCGCCTCAGAGGCGCCCTCAGAGCGGTTCTGGCGCTTGACACGGCCAGCAGGAGCTCCAGCGATGCGCCGGCCCAGGGGAGGAAAGATTTTGCACGGCTGGGCGCTTGGAGCAGCGAATTGGAGGAGGGTTGGTTGTTGTTCAGCGAGGGGAGGAATGGAAAGGGAAGGGGTGGGTGTGGGGGTAAGATTTGTTACAAAGACGAGGGAAGCAGGTCATGCAAAGGGCGTCCCTTCCCAGGCAAGTGTGGCGAGGTTCCTTTCCTTCATGTGAAAGGATGCAGATGTGAATGTGTGGGCGGGGTGCATGGTGTGGTTGGGCGCCATTCAGGTGAACGCGCAAATGCAACAGTGCAACACTGCAGATCCAGCACTTAAAACCGCAGAGACAGTCAACAAACACACAGTCCAGTACATCAATCATGTCACAGTCCCCTTCACCACCCCGAATCCACCACCACTCCCGGAGCCATTGATGTGAGAGTCTCCAATCCTGAACTTGTCAACCCACATTTGCTCACTCGCAGGCGCCGCAGCCCGGTCAACGCCACTAAGCCCTTCGCATCCGCGTCCTTCACCATCGAGCACCCCACGATGGACAGAGACGTGAGATTTGTGAGCATCCCCATCCCCTTGCCTCTCGCACCATTGCAATCCTCCAGCATGAGAGACTGCAACGAAGTGAGTTTAGCCAAAAAGCCCATTCTGCCGTGGCACCTTGTCAGGCCCAGAAACCGCAGCCCATGCAGGGCCCCCAGTCCTGAGAAGTGCCTATCCCGGGGATGGTCGCTGCGGTACAAAATGTCCACAAGAGTCAACGAGGTCAACGCACACAGGTCCCTCCACTGGGCCAAGTCCGCCTTCGTCACGAAGCTCTTGGAGATGGTCAGTTCCGTGAGAGCGGGCTGGCGGGATACACCCACCGGAACTCTGTGCCAGCCCTCGGCGCCGTCCTTGGAGTGTTCTGAAACCCTGTTCTGTTCTGCCAGCCTCAGCTCCAGCTTCCTCAGGCTGGGCATCTTGGTCCACAAGGCATTTCGCCCCACCTTGACGTCCTCAAGATGCAGTTCCCGTAGGGCCACCAGCCCGCCGATCGCCTCCCATCCTGGCCCGGTCGATTGCCTGCTCTTCCGGATCCTCAGGCTTCGCAGTCCCACCAGCCCCTTCAGCCAGGACAGCTGGGTGTCCATTAGGGGACAGTCTCGCAGCTCGACATGCCTGAGCTTGGACAGCGTGCTCAAGAAGTGGGCCCCGATCATCGTGAACTTGAACCCACTCGGCAGCATCAGCTCCTCCACGTTGGGGAACTTGGTTTTCACAGACCGCAGAATGGCGCTCCGGGAGGGACCATTCATGGACGAGAATTCTGAAGCCAGTCCCACGCGCAGGGTTGCCTTGTTTGCCCAACCGTTCCAGTGCCTGTTCACTAGCCTCGCCTGCCTGAAAAAGAAGCCTGGACAAACCTCCCGATCGCGCTTTTCTGAGATCTGCTCAATGGCATCCAGTACACGAAAGGCGATGGATGCCCATCCACTCCCAGCACACCTGCAGCAGTCCACATATGAACGCAACCGCTTCAGTGTGAAGAAATAAAAAGAATGCAATAATGGTCATGTGGAAATTATACCTGGCATCACCCGCATCATATGACTCACTTTGGTGCTCGTAGGTCTGGCCCACGGTGGTGCCCAATGTCTTCGCCATTACAATAGAAATGAACGACCTGCTACTTTTGTCAAGTCCTGCCCAACTCTGCACCTTTGCTGAAATGTGGGAAACTCTCCTACCGCCTGCACAAATCAGGCTTGGTTTTTACGCCGTAAAAACTGACCGTATTTACGGTTTTACACGTAAAAATAGTTTTCACTTTTTTGCACGTAAAATACTTGAAAATACGTAAATACAATGTAAAAACTGCCCGGTGTACATAAGGACAGTACATGCAGACTTGCGGAGTTCGGAGAGTGGGGTCCAGACGCCTTGAAGTCTGGGAAACTCTCCTTCCGTCTGCACAAATCAAACTTTTGATTGACTGCCACGCATCATGGCCCGGATCCTGTCAACAAGACTGGCCACAAATAACTGCAACATTGTGCAAACTCAAAAGCTGGCAATCGATCTTCTGATCCAATGTGCTTTCTGGCACAACATCCAAGCAACACAAAAGGCAGGAACACAATCATCAATTTTCGTCCACTCATTACATACCACCCGCCGCATCATGCCTGTGGAGTCCCAGCCTCCGTCAACATCAGCCAATTTGCCAATTCGGGTTCGCCAACGTCAGAGCCCCAGGTGCCAGGACATTTCCTGACGATGCCAATGGAATGGGGTCCTTGCCAATGGGCCAGTGGCACTAAAAACCCCACAGTGGTTACATACGACCCTCCTGCCAACAGACATCGCTGGGGAGGGAAACTCCCCCAGCAGACTTCAATGGAAGTTGGCCCTTTCCTGTGCCATACTTCTGCTACATTCAAACATGCCAATTGCGAGTCAGATGGATTTACCTTTCTGGGCCACCGGATCCATTCCTGGAACTTGGTTTCTTGTCGCTGGCTTTGTCACTGGCATCATCACCGTCATCGTCGCTGGCGTCATCGCCCTCGTCGCTATCTTCTTCATTGAGCTTGGTGACATCAATGCTCTTTGACAGTGTCCAGATGTACACACCGTGTGACTTGAATGTGTATTGCTCGACGCACTGCCTCCGTAGCAGCTTGCACGACGCCCTCGCAACCTGAAAATGCCAAAAAGCATGACAGGATGAATCAGCCAAGGCATGTTGCGTTGGCTGACATATTGGATACTAAATATATTGGATGCAAAATCTGTGCGTGGTCAAACACGAAGAAATGCAGATATCTCCAACGGACACCTGGCTTCTCCAGCCATATTCACTTGCGCTCCACAAATGCACTCACTTTTACCACTCACGACTTACATCTGTTTTGACAGGCCACTAGGCAAGTTCTCTCTGTTGTTTGCTCTTACCCTCATCTTCTGTAGCCTAATACCAGGCTAGACCGACCCTTCACACGTGCAGTGGGTACCGTTTGAGATCACCATCGGACACTACCACAATGGCCCTTGTACTCTCGTCCCCATTGGCCACGCTGTGCCTATTGGAAAATTTGGACGGCCTGGTGCCCCTTCCCCTTGCGCCAGTTGATGATTGGGATCGTCAGCAGCCAACACTGCCAGCAATCTCAGGTACCATCATAATTGTGATAAGTCTTGTCAGTTCTCCCCACCACCCCCCTCCCTATTAGTTGCCA